AAAAAAAAAAAAGCTCCTTTTGGAAACTGAGACCTGTATTTCTGCTTCTGGAAGTGGTCAGGAGGGGCAGGGAAATGCCTTTGCACTACAGAAGGTGAAGCTAGAGGTAAGCACAGAGCTGGCAAGGAGTGGAGGGCTGTCCTTGTTTCTAAAATCAGGAAATTTTACACACAAAATAAGGATTTCTGGCTTTTCTTAAATAATCAGACCTGTGATTTGACAACACTGGCCCTGCATTTCTTGCTGGCAATAACTGGCTGGTCTTTTTAGTAATTGTCCCTTGTAGGTGAAGCAGTGCACACCACTTCTCCTGATTGTCCTGCTGTTCTTTCACTGTGCCTGTGTCACTCATAACTGTCAGTGCCTGGGCACTGTAGTAGGAATTTACATTTTTTGCCCCTGACTTAAGGGGGTATCTTTCATGGCAGATTAAAGAATCATAAAGTGTTTATAAAACCCACTAATATTATGTTTATTCATTTTAGAAAAATAAGTTGTATATAAGCATGCTTACCATAAGTTGTATATAAGCATGCTTACCATGAGTTATCAGGATACTTAGGACTGTTTCAGCATTCATCATGTCTAAACAAACCAACCACACAGGCTTCTCCCACTCCTCCCCTAAAATTGTCTTCTTCCTCAGTATAAAATACTCATTTTCCTTATCTCATTTTCAGTGCCCCTAATTTATTTTCTTTCTTACAATTCTGATTCTCAACCAGATGTATTCAGGTTTTGCTGACCCTTCCATCCTAGCACATTCTATCTGCACTACTCAGCTTTCCCTGTCATCTTAGAAGAGATGGCTCCTGTTTCCTACTTAATTCTGATGCTGTTGCACTGTGCTATATGCATCACACTAGAGTTTCAGAAGCAGCGTGGCAAAGTAAAAGTGAAATAGATGTGTTTCTTGAATTAACTGTGTGACCTAGAATACTTTACTTCTCTCTGCCTTACTTACTTTATTTAGGAAGTGGAAACAGTACCAACCACAAAAGGTTGTTGTGAGAATTAAATAATATATGTAAAGTGCTAAACATGCTGCCTGGCATAGAGCATAATATTTCCTGGTCCTCAGCAAATGTTATCATTCATCTTCCTTGTCCACTTGGAATGTAAGGAATATGTTATGCTTTTATTTTCTAGCACTTAATACAATTTGTGGCTCACAGAAAGTTTATTGAACAAATTGGATAAGCAGAGACACTACTGTGTATCAAGGATTATTCTTTGTAATGATGTTCTGTGTGTTGAGATTTCTAAATGACTTGCAAGTAGGCCAGGCGCCATGACTTAAGCCTGTAATCCCAGCACTTGGAAGGCCAAGGTGGGTGGATTGTCTGATCTCACAGGTTTGTGACCAGCCTGAGCCAGAGCAAAACTTCATCTCAAATAGCCGGGCGTTGTGGCGGGCGCCTGTAGTCCCAGCTACTTGGGAGGCTGAGGCAAGAGAATTGCTTAAGCCCAGGAGTTTGAGGTGCTGTGAGCTGTGACACCAGAGCGCTCAATCCCAGGGCAACTGAGTGAGACTCTGTCTCCAAAACACAAATTAATTAAAAAACAATAAATGATTTACAATTACAGACTAATTTTGATGTTATAAATCACAACTATATTAACATAGCCCCAGCATCACAAGCTTTGTGTTCTTTGCTTATAGGTACATCCTACTGAAAGAAAGAAACATGCTCTTAACCCTAGAGCAGGAGGCCAAGAGGCAGAGACTGCCAATGCCAAGTCCAGAGCGGTTAGAGAAGGTAAGGGATAAAAGAGGCTGGGAACTAGAGTGCTGGGTAAAGGCTAAATGGAGTGAATATGTGGTTCCTGTATTACTTGTCAAATAGATTTTTTTCTATTTCTGTTGGATTTTAAGTAAATACAGAGTTATTCAACCTTTTCAGCTATCTCATTTTGAAACTTTTCCATCATCCCCCAAAAGAAATCTCAAGCCTACCTGTAGTTGTTCTTCATTCCTACCTGCACCCCCAGTGTACATGTGGACAGGTGTTTTCATTTGATTAAATACTTAGAAGGGAAATAGCTGGGTCATATGGTATATCCACATTTAACATTTTAAGAAACCATCAAGGCTGGGCACCTGTGGCTCAAGCAGCTTAGGCGCCAGCCACGTACACCTAAGGTGGCGGGTTCGAATCCCCAGCCCGGATCCGCCAAACAACAATGACGGCTGCAACCAAAAAATAGCCGGACATTGTGGTGGGCGCCTGTGGTCCCAGCTACTTGGGAGGCGGAGGCAGGAGACTCGCTTGAGCCCAGGCGTTGGAGGTTGCTGTGAGCTGCGATGCCACAGCACTCTATCCAGGGGGACAGCTTGAGGCTCTGTCTCAAAAAAAAAAAAGAAACCACCAAACTATTTTCTAAAATAACTGCACCACTTCACATTTCTAGATCTGATTAGCCACTTCCTCACCAACTAGGTCAATTTTTTACTATGGTAAAAATCGTAACATAACATAAAATATACTATCTTTTAAGTTTACAGTTAGTAGTGTTTAACATATTTGCATAGTTATAAAAGGTCAGTTATTTTTAAATTAGGTTTCCTTCATCGTTAAAAGAAAAATCCCTTGTTCTTCCTATTCCCACTCCAAGGTAATCAATTTTATGTGTTTCTTGTTTATCCATCAGAATTTTCCACATACATGTGGAAGTGTGTCTAATTATTTTATAACAAATTTGGTTATACTGTATATACTCTTTAAACTTGTGTTTTTCACCTCTCTAGTGTATCCTGGATATCTTTCCATATCAGTATGAAGATCTGCCTCTTTTAAGAAATTTAAGACTTCTTTTTATGCTGAAGTTCTGTATTTTTGTTTAGTTAGAGTTATAAGGTTTTTTCCTAGATTACTTTCAAGATCAGCCCTTCACTGGTTATTCTGTGCCCTAGGAAATAGTCAGTGAGAACAGATCTCATTTGTAATAGTGTTAATTCGGCTGCTTAACCACAGCTACTTTAGTTTCTTTTCCTCACTCTAGTTACAACCATAATTGCCACACTGCCTTTAAGAAGGAAAGACATGGCTCAGTGCCTGTGGCTCAAGCGGCTAAGGCGCCAACCACATATACCTGAGCTGGCGGGTTCACATCCAGCCTGGGCCCGCCAAACAACAGTGATGGCTGCAACCAAAAAAAAAAAATGAAGGAGACTCAGTCTCTAAAAAAAAAAAAAAAAAAAAAAAAAAAAAGGACTAAAACACCAGGCCCTCTATGTTTGAAATACAGTAACAAGGCAAATGCTAAACAACTGATTATAATTTTACAGGTGTGTTTTTCTAGTCTCATTAAAAAAATGTTTCAAGGACTGGGCAGCACTTGTGGCTCAGCTCAGAGGAGTAGGGCGCTGGCCTGGTATGTTGGAGGTGGTGGGTTCAAACCCAGCCCTGGCCAAAAAAAAAAAAAAAAAAAACTGCAAAAAAAATGTTTTAAGGACTGCTCTCTAAATTTGATTCCTGGCTACAAATAGAAATGTGTGCTCTTGACTTTAGAACACAATCCCATTAATTTTGTATCCTTCAGGGCTCACACCTATAATCTTAGCATCCTGGGAGGCCAGGGGTGGAGGAAGTAAGGGAGTGGATTCCTTGAGCTCAGGAATTTAAGACCAGTCCGAGCAAGAGTAAGACCCTTTCTCTGAAAAAGCAGCCAGGTGTGGTGGTACACGCCTATAATTGCTACTTGGGAGGCTGAGGCAAGATAATTGCTTGAGCCCAGGAGTTTGAAGTTGCTGTGAGCTATGGCACTGTGGACTGGGGCAACAGAGGTAAGTGAAACTCTTTCTCAAAAAAAAAAAAAAAATTATATTCTCTCGCATATAAGCTAACACTCTTGGCTCTGAGAAACTTATAAACGAGAAAAAAAGATTCTTTGAGATTGACTTGTTTTGAATAAGGTGTATCTCATTGATACTTCTGATTTTTCTTCACATCTGGTGGCATAAACATTTGAGTATAGCCATTTACATTTTTTTTTTTCTTTTTGAGACAGTCTCACTATGTCGCCCTTGGTAGAGTTCCATGGTGTTATTGCTCACAGTAACCTCAAACTCTTGGATTTAAGCGAGTCTCTTGCCTCAGCCTTCAAGTACCCGGGACTTTAGGTGCCTGCCACATGCCTGGCTGTATTTTGTTGTTGTTGTAGTCATTGTTGTTTAGCAGGTCTGGGCCAGGTTCGAATCCATCAGTCCTGGTGTATATGGCCAGCACCCTAGCCGCTGAGCTACAGTCACTGAGGCACCATTTACTTTCTTTTTTTCTTTTTCTTTCTTTTTTTTTTTTTTT